ATTGTTAAGTGTTATAATATAGTTAATTTGCAGCCATCTCTTAATTGACCAGTTTGAGTAGATGAATCATTTATTGAACTCACTTAAACGTTTTTGTTGTAACATCAAAGTATACTACTGTTTACCTCTTAAGTAACTTCTTTACTGCAGTTTGAAAGGCTCTTGAATTAGAAGGAAAATCTAAATAATGCGTCACAGATAGAGGAGCATTGTTGACTAGCACATGTTAGAAATCTGCATGAGTGGTTTGCATGATTTTTTTGCAAGTTGAGCCTCCTAGATAACGGAAAATTTAACATCTCTTCCTTGTATCATTTCAAGCACACTAGCCATGCATAGCTTTATCTCACCAGAAGATACATACACTCCACTCAATTCACTGGTTTTTTTAGAGAGCAGTTGATTAAGAGTCTAAACTCGATCCAGTTCAGACTTTGTTTCCATGCCTTTGCTATTTTGGAAAACACAGCATCACTCTAGATGAAGCAGGTTTAATAGTACAGGTGTCATACACAAATATTTTCCTAATCAGACTGGTGCTGGAGAGGACTGTTAGTGAGTGTACTAATCAAGTGTAATTCATTTAAGCGATGAGGTACTTCCAGTAGCTCTGAAATGACTGAATTAAAAGGTTTGAACTCACACCTCTTTTTCCCTTGGACTAGCATTGTGTGTGTTTGGGTGGTTTAATATTGGCAAGCATGAAGCAAGCCATTCAAACCTGATATATATTCTCTTCTTATTACAATGTGCAAGTTAGGTAGAACCCATGAAATCCGAAAAAGAATCTGAAGATTTATTTTTGCTGTTCAGTTTAATGTGTGGGTTTAGAAGGAAAACAACCCCTTTCCTGTAGCTGGGGATTGCAGCACTCCTTCTTTCTCGCTTTTTACAAAAGAACTGATGTTTTTCCCAGAGTTCAAGTCATCCTGTTGACCTGGGTATCTCACTTTGATTTGAAAAAAGAAAGGGCAAAAGTATTTGTGTTTAAAGGGGTAAAAGTCAAACAAGTTTCTCCTTAAGCCTTTGGGACTCTGTGTGTCTGTGTGTTACATATATAAATACACACACACATATATATATGTACACAAGCACATGTTACGTGTGCATCAGTTGAAGGGCGTTACTCTCTACCCTCTCCTGATACCGGTAATGATGAAGGGGAGGCTGATCCGATGTTTCATGGATGCCTGTTGTCTTTTGGCAGTGTCTCAGCATAAATTGAGGCCACAGTTTTGTCACCTAGGTATTAGACGCTGTGAGCCTGAGAAAACAAGCTGACTGTTACAAAGTGCCCCGCTACTCGCACAGCATGGAGACTACTTTGGATTGCAGGAGAGAGAGAGTTCAAGCTGGGATGTTGCTTGAGAAAATGATGGGCATTACACCTCACAGTTGCATCTCCTGAACAGAGCAGCAAGGAAGTGTGTTTGGGAAGGTGCTGTGGGCACTGGCCCCTGTGCCACATTCTGTCACTTATGTAGGAGTCTTTACAGCACTTTCCCTACCTTCTCTTTGTAGCAGAGATAGTGCTTCAGCCAGAATTAAAACTTTGATTGTAGTAGCCCTAGGATCTGCTAACTGTGAGGCGCAATTAGTCTTGAACTGGTCTGAAATTCCCTGAAAATTTGGGGATGTGAAGGTAGTTTAACTGAGTTTCTATCTACTCCCTGCAGACAAGGCAGTGTAAATTGACTTATAGTTCCTTTCAGTCCTCTAGCATTGTTAACATGTTAAACAATATTTGAAAACTCTTTGGTGATGCTCATGGAAAGCTGCTGAGGCCATCTTTTGAGATTCTGGCTCTCATCTTCCTTGCAGGTGGCTGAAGGGTGATTAACCTTTCTTCAGGTTTGTCTCAGTGCAGTCTATCAGAAAGAAAATGCTTTAAAAACATAATAACTCAAGTATTTAAAACTGCTTTTAATATATTATTTATATATAATAAATATGTTTTAATATATTATTTTCATATTTATATATATATAATATATAATGTGTGTGTGTATGTGTATATAAAAAATAAAATATAAAAAAAAATCAGAAAAATCCTACAGGTTTTCCTGGCTGTGTAACTCAGTATTATAGATTGCATTGTTGTGAAGCAGAGCCTTTAGTTGGTAGTCCTCTGTGTCAGTGTTCTCAGATCTGTTACCTCTGTTGGCCCCATTCAAGGGACTGCATTATCAATGCTGTCTTTGAAATAAACCCTTTTCTGAAGGCTGCTTTTAGTGAGGTTGTTGGTGAGCCAGCTCACTGGTGCAAAGCAGCCAGGATGTCTGTAAAGCCTTTACTTTTCACAGTTAAGGGTTCATGTCTTACATCTTGCTATTGTACTGTAGGGTATTAATTGACTGAAAATGAAACAAATATGATGTGAAGACCATGAAAGATCCTTTTAAGAAAAAAAAAAATAAAAGAAAGCACTGCCATATCCTCTGCTAATTGCCTTTGTTTGTCTGTAGAACAGCTGAGTATGACTGACGCATGTAGATAAAACCCAAGCTAGCTTTTTCCTTGGTAATGTGGATATTGTTAAAAATTAAAGCTGTGGCATCATGAAACCTGATGAGCTGCCCAGGTGTCCTGTGTTATGTTTACTAACTGGAAACTCTGCTATTGGAGCTGTGTTGCTGCTGCTGGTATCCATTGTAGCTAGAACAAAGTCAGCTTATCACTGAGATTGTGTATGTGATCGCTGTTCTTGAAGAGCCTATCTGTAAAGCATATAAAGTAGCTTGTAATGCAAGGTCCACATTTATGAGTCTTAACTGGTTAGGGAACAAGTTTTAGATCATATTGAGGTTAGATGTAGGCACTGCACTACCTCTGGAAATTTCTTTCATTATCCACAAGCATAGGTGCCGTTTTTATGTGTTTGTTATAATTTGGCAGGACATAACTATTTTCATTATTTTTCACCTATCTTCTTATTTTAGACCAATTCAAGAGGTTATATTTTGCTTCAGTTCTGCCTCTGGGGTAATGGGCAGAAAGCCATCAAGCCTTATCCTTAATACTGTGTTCTCTTGGGGTTTTTAGGTTGCCTTTAAGCTGGAATTCATTCCGATTTCAAGAAGGGATGTGGAGTGTTTGTAGTGAAACACTTGTATTTTGCATGTCTAAATCAAGTGGGAGGGGAACATTGCATATTTTGAACACCTTACAACTGGTCCTTTTTTCTCTTTTCACCTTGAAACTTAAACTGTATAGTGATTTCTTCTTTGCCTTCTCTTCCTACAAAAATCACAGAGCACAGTAAATTGTCCTCTGCTGCTGTTCAAGCCAACACAATGATCTCTATGGCAAAATAACATTTTTTTCTGAAATGGCAAGTCAAAAAGAAGCTTTGTGCTTGGGGGAAAATAAACTATTTTCAAAAGAATAATTGTCCAAAAATCAGCTTGCTCCCCTCCCTAAATTCTGTCTGAAGAGGCCAGCTAACTCACAGTGAGCTCAGGGACTCATGTCTTTAACATGTCTTAGTCAGTGTTCACACCTTCATTGCTAAAATGTTTCACCAAGGAACCTAATTGACATTTCTTATGTGATTTGATGACAGAAGTCTTGTTTGTATCTTTGCAGAGTGGAAGTAATGTTTTGTCCAAAATTATCAGTTTGAGGTTAAGTGATTTCCACCACTGCACACTGCCCCATTAGAAGAACTAAATCAATTTTTTTGATGTTTGCCTAAGAACTAAATCAGTTTCATGGTTTTTTGTGACTTGTTGGTTGTGTTACAATCAGAAGAGGCCCTCAGGCTGACAGTTGATGATTTTTCTTTTCTATGATTCAGTTCATTGCTGCTTCCTCTTCTTAGTGCATTATTTCTTAAACTTTCTTGGTGACTTTAAGGTAACACTGCCTTCTCAGGCTAGTGCAGAAGGGCAGATGAATTCTCAGAAGCCAGAGTTTTGTTGCATCACAATATGCTGTAAAAATTTTAAAAAAATTTTTTTTTAGTTAAAAAAAATAAAAATTAAACAACGGCTTATGGCTGGCTGCCTGCTTAAATGATTATCTTCATTGATCCGTTCTGTCCAGGACCAAAACAACATGTGGACTACAAAGCTTTTTGACAAACTTTACTGTGTGGTATTTTTGTAAATGTTACAGAATAAGACTAATAAATTTTCGAACTTGTAAAAAAAAGACCACAAGAAATTTGTGGAGAAAAGTTTTAGGTAGATCTTCTGTAAGGAAAATGAAATGTGGTGGCTCTAGAAATTAGATTTGTTTTTTTCTCCCTGCTTTTTAATGATCGTGTTGCTCAGTAGTTGCCAGGAGGAGTCATTTTAGGAAAGCGTAAATTGAACAATAGATGTTAGCCCACTCCTGTTCTTTCTGAGCACATTAACAGCATCTTTAAAAGATTTCTGACTGTGTAAGAGTTCTGTAAATCTGGCTGACACTCTCTTTAGGTACAATCAAATTTTGGTTTGTCTCCCTCCTTGAAGAGAAGTATCAGGACTGGGATAAGCCTTTGAAGGGGAGTACTGTCCCTTCTATTCCTAGGCATAAAGAAACTTGTGGAAAGACCTTAAACAGGCAGAAATTCTGCTACAAGCAAACTGGACATGATTAAAATTTTGACCTTGGAATTTTCCACTCTTCTTAATGTATTGCTGGCATGAGGCTGCTGTTTTGTGGTTACCCAGGGTGCTGAAAATTTTCTGTAGTACAGGACGTAGAGCAGGACTACATTGCCTAAATGTGAATTGGTAGCTTGTCCTTATTTGTATATGTGCATGTGGACTTCACTGCATTTGCTTGTTTTAGATTGATGAAATAGCTGTAATTTTATTCTGCTTAAATATTTTAAAAAAATATATGTGAAGACATTGTTGGCACACTTGTAAAATGTCTCTCTGATGCTTATTCAGTTATCAGACATAGCTATTTGGCAAGTAAGTCTGTCTTCTGTGTGGGGAGAAAAGAAAGTTTGCTAAATTTATTTTTAGTGTTCACAGCAATTGGGTCATCATGTTAATTATTTTTTTCCCATGTTTCTTTTCTAGGTAGTATTGGTACATCGTTTCAATGCCATTCAATCCATCAAGATCACATTTGTAATGATGACAGTGACAAGGTGAGACATAAATGTTTCATTCACGAGGTCATATGCATTATGGGGTTTTTATGTATTGGTTTTACTACACAAAGATGTGTTGTGCAGGTATAGCAGTCGGTTTTCAGAGTTATTCTTTAAGCTGTCTCTAGCATAACAAGATGTATGTTTTACTTCGAACAGTCTTTTAGCCAGTTAATGAGAAATTTGTTTTTAGTATTGTATGTTTGTATTTGGTTGTATTCCTTTGCTTTTCTAAACATTTGTGATTTGCCATATTGACACCCTCGGTTAATTAAGAACAGCACTGGTTTCTGGCTTCAGAGGTTAGAGCCTAGCTAAGTGTTCAAAGGGTTGTTTTGGTTTTTTTTTACAGTAGCTGTATTTTCCTGTTTTGGACTTGGGAATTTAAGCTTTTATGGATATGAATCTTCTGTTCAGTGTTGCAGCCTTAAAGTAGCAACCTGTCTAGTCATGTGTAAGCATTTTCTTAACTTTTTTTTGACACATTCCCAGATTACCTTGCTTTGGGTCAGTAGAGTGCTGGATGTTAAATGTTAAATGATACTTGCATCAGTAGTGTAAGTGTGGCATGCAGAAGGAAGAAGTTTTGACATTGAACTGCTCATGAGACTGACTGGCTTTCATGTTTCTATTACTGTTGATGGTTTTACCATAAGCTTTACTTTTTGTAAATAATGCAGATTGATTAAGATTAGCTTAACATGTAATGTGTGTTACACTGTGTGCAGTATGACACTTCATAGAAAACTAACTTTTTGGCTTGACATGCCTGGAAAGGGGCATGTATTGGTCAAATTCTAAATAATCTTTCTTAGGAAGTGAAATGCGAACTGCATAGACCAAGTGCACAAATCCTTGTGTTTGGAAATTCTGGAGTAAGTTAATGTTATAGTTGTTCCAGCTTATCCTAGAGCTAGATTTCTTTTCAGAGAAAGATTCTTTTACTGCTCTACTGCCTTTTTTCTTTTTTACCCTTTCACTCTTACTTTCCTCCAGTTTTGTGGATCTTGTGTGTGTGTGTGTGTATTTGTTTGTTTGTGTTTTCCTGAGAGTTTTTTTGTTGGTTTGGTTTGGTTTTTTAGTTTAATTTTATTTTTTAGGTACCACCCTAGATTTGGGGACTGGTTCAACCTACAGATATTGGTCAAACATGCTATCCAGAACATGGCCAACGTTGTTTTAAGTTTCCACTTGATTAATTGCTTAACTATTTTCAACAGTATTCACTGCTCTGTTTTTTGGGTCTTGTGCGCTCTGTTGCCATCCTTGTGCACCAGTGTAACTATTCTTGCTTTTCTGTTATTACGTGGACAATCACCTCTGTGTTACACTAATTGTCTTCCCTTAGTTTTATTTCATATCAAGGTGTAGTGGGTTGACCCTGGCTGGATGCCAGGTATGCACTAAAGCCATTCTCTCACTCTCCCTCTGCAACTGGACAGAGGAGAGAAAAAAAAACAGCAAAGGATTCATGGGTTGAGGTAACAGCTGGGAAAGGTCACTGACTGATCACCATCACGGACAAAACAGACTCAGAGTGAGGATAATACTTAAATTTATTACTAACAGGATAAGAGCAAAAGAGTGAGAAATAAAATAATCTTAAAAAACACATTCCCACCACCCCTCCGTCCTTCCATGTTCTCCCTCCTCCGCCCCCGCAGTGCAGGGGGACAGGGAATGGGGGTTACAGTCAGTTGTTGTTTCTGCCACTGCTCAGAGAGAGGAGTCCTTCCCCTGCTCCTGTGGGGTCCCTCCACAGGAGACAGTCCTTGATGGACCTGTCCAATGTAAGTCCATCCCTCAGGCAGCAGCTCTTCCCAAACTGCTGTCCCGTGGGTCACTCCTCCATGGGGTGCAGTCCTTCACCAATGAGCTGTCCCAACATGGGTCCCCCACAGGGCCACAAGTGCCACCCAGGAAAAACCTGCTCCAGCGTGGGATTCCCTCTCCAGGGGCTGCAGGTCTGGAAGGACCCTGCTCCATCTTGGGCCTCCCACAGGGTCACTGCCTTCTTCAGATATCCACCTGCTCCAGCATGGGTTCCACCCCGATGCTCCCCCATGGGCTGCAGAGGCACCTCTGCCCCACCCTGCTCTGCACCACGGGCCGCAGGGCCTCAGCTCTGGCGCCTGGAGCACCTCCTGCCCCTCCTTCTGCACTGCCCTTGGCGTCTACCTTGTTGTTCCCATGTTCTCACTCTGCTCTTCCCTGGCTGGAATTCTTTCTGTGCAACAACCTTCTGTTCTTAATATATTATCACAGAGGTGTTACTGTCACTCCTCATTGGCTTGGCCTTGGCCAGCAGCAGGAAGCCCATCCTGGAGCCAGCTGGCACTGGCTCCACAGGACAGGGGAAGCTTCTGGCAGCTTCTGACAAGCCACCCTGTAGTCCTCCTGCTACCAAAACCCAGCCACAGAAACGCACTACACAGGGTAATTAAAACTGGTTTAAGTCTTATTGGAAATTCAGTCTTTTAGGTGCTTCACTGGTCTGAGGGGAGGGAGTACAAAGGGATGTGGCAGCTTACCCCCCATGTAAATTTCAGAAGAGTAGTTGTTTGGCACACAACCTGCCTCCATATTAATAGGGGAACTAGATCAAATGTTACTTTTTTGCATATTTAGAAACGGTGGAAGAAAACAGTCTTCATCACTGGGATTGATTCTGCACCAAATGAGAACTCCCAACTGTAAAAGTTTACTGAAATAGAACTAGTATAAAAAGCAGAAAGGGTGTATTTCAAACACGTGTTTTTCTGCAGATGTCAGTTTTATTTGGTAAGAGTTTTGATTTTTCTGTGAGAATACATGAAGCTGTTTGCCTTTCATTTTATAGGAAATTCTAGTTGATCCCTTGATTAAAATAGCCACTTATTTGACAATACAGTAAACAGTCCTCAGAACAGACTATCTGTACTCTTCTCGGATGTGTCGCTGAACTCTGTGCTCTTGTTTTAAGACAGAAGTTAGAGTACTAGCACTTGGTGTCATTTTCAGGTACAGACCAACTGGATGATGGAATCATAGAATGGCCTGGGTTGGAAGGGGACCTCAGAGATCATCTGGTTCCAACCCCCCAGCCATGGGCAGGGACACCTTCCACTAGGGCAGGTTGCTCAAACCCCATCCATCCTGGCCTTGAACACTTCCAAGGATGGGGCATCCACAGCTTCTCTGGGCAACCTGTTCCAGTGCCTCACCACCCTCACAGTAAAGAATTTCTTCTTAATATCTAATCTAAAGCTACTCTCTTTCAGTTTGAAGCCATTCCCCCTTGTCCTGTCACTACATGCTGTTGTAAAAACTCTCCATCATAAGCAGTGCTTCCTAAAAGCAGCTGGTTGCAGTACTTGGGTACAATTGCAATTCTCTACTGCTTGTATTCACATATGCCTATCTTCTTGTGTCAGTTATTGAAGTTGTTATTAGCTTCCACTGTGAATTACTTTGAAAATCAGAGTGCTGATTTATTCTGCCATTACTGAGGGATAGCACCTGTTCATTTTGGTAGGAATAACCCTGAGATTAATTCAGCTGGTTAAAGCATGGTGCTAATAAAGCCAAGGTTGTGGGTTTGATCCCTGTACGGGCCATTCACTTAAGAGTTGGACTAGATGATCCTTGTGTGTCCCTTCTAACTCAGAATAATCTGTGAACTTCTTTGAATATCATTTAAAGATAAAACGCAGGATTTAATTGATGTATTTATCTACAAATTTATTAAGTGTTGGGCCTTTTCATATTAATTCTAGAAACTTTATGAAAAGCATACCTTCAGAATACTTTGACATATCTTTGATTAGTCAATATAATTGCCTGACTATAAGTAAGCAGCTTTTGCATTTCAGGAGAAATGTAAAGTTTAATATTTGACTGGCAATCTGCATATATTTTACAGTAGTTTCTCCAAAAGCCCAGTCTTCATTTTCCAGACAACAGCATGAGAAAAGTTCTACACCACACATGCTAAAGGAATGTTGCAATCTTAATGAAAACAATTCCCAGGCTTCCACCCCAATTACTTGATTTTGTTGACTTGGCACATGAGAATCTTGAATTCATGTTCAGTGACATCAGCAGGAAACGAAAGTCTAAGATTTTTCATGTGTGGACTCACTGAATCAAGACGGATGTGTCATTGTTGAGAGCATTATGGCATTACTAAGAACCTGTTTAATTTCATAGCACCAAAAGCAGTTCCTCTTGTCTTACAAAGAAAGCTAATATAGCTTAGCTACAGAGGACACTTCACATTTTACTTGGTGTTGCAAAGTGATTTCAATTGAGATTTATTTAAAAATAATTGTTGCTTTGGAGATGGGAGCTTTTAAACCTCAGTGCATAAGTTGAGGGAACCCTTTTTCACACTTGTAATTTCTTTGATTTTTCTTAGAAGTATAAATATTAAATGACAAAACTGAATAAATTTTTTTATGGAGCACAGCATTTAGGGAAAGGTACTTATAAGAAGGGACTGTTATTCCTTGGTATGTTACTTTGTTTTAATGCTCATTCCTACTAGTGTTTAACAGAGAGATTAATTGCTCCTGCAGAGCCTTTCAATCATATTCAGTTTATTTAGTTTTAAAAATATGTTTTTTTCCTTTGGGTGGCTGTTTTGCCAGTGGTGTGCTTCCATTAAAGGATGCTTTCTCATTTTGAAAAGAAACTCCAAAGATGCAACTCTTAACTACTCTTGTGACATATCTCTTGTGACATACTCTTGTGACATCTCTTTTCAGAGATCTCATTAAGTTATCTATTCCTTGGTTCTCATGCAGTTGACCAAACTGACCACCTAGTAGTAATGAAAAACACAAAGCACTCTGGGGTCAATCCAGTGGAATTTTTTCACTACCACTAAGGGGTTGGGAATTATTATTTCCAAATATTTACTTTGCTTTTCTCCCTTTTCACTTATTTTCACTTATTTTACTTTCATAGTATTACTAGTATTACTATTACTGTTAGATTTGTTTTCTTATAGTATGTAA